ACTCAACATTTCTCAAGCTGAAAGAACTGAAGAAAAACTCAAGGCTCAAATGGCAATATTGAAGGATTCTGTGGGAAAAATATTGAACGATGCAGGAAGTGTCAAAAGAAGATGGAAGGTATACACAGTCACTGTATCAAAATGAATTGAGCAATGTGTAACTATTTCAGGAGGTAGCATATGATCAAGAAGCAATGGTATTGAAGGGAAAAGTCCAAGTTGCATTGAAGGAATTGACGAAGAACAAGGTTCCAGGAATTGACAGAATATCCACTGAGATGTTTCAACAAACTGATGTAGCACTAGAAGCACTTATTCATTTATGCCAAGGAATTTGGAAGACAGCTACCTGGCCAACTGACTTGAAGAGAACGACATTTTTGCCCATTCCAAAGAAAGGTGATCCCACAGAATGTGGAAATTATCGAACTATATTATTAATATCACATGCAAGTAAAATCTTACTGCAGATACTTTAAAAATGGTTTCAGCAGTATATTGACAGGGAACTTCCAGAAATGTAAGCTGGATTCAGAAGAGGACATGGAATGAGGGATATCATTGCTGATGTCAGATGGATCTTCAATGAAAGCAAGGAATAGCAGAAAGTTGTTTATTTATGTTTTATTGACATATGTTTTATGCCATAACATTTGACTGTGTAGATCATAACAAATTATGGATAACATTGTGAAGAGTGAGAATTCCAGGACACCTAATTGTGCTAATGAGGAACCTGTACTTAGGCTGTTGTTCAAACAGAACAAGGGGATACTGCATGGTTTAAAATCAGGAAGGGTGTACATTAGGATTGTTCCTTTCACCATTCTTATTCAATCTGTACGCCGAGCAATTTCTTCACATTTTAAGTTGTGCTTCATCAGCAAATGAAGGTCCTGTAAGCTTTACTCCATCCATATCACTAAGGTTGACTCTACTTTGAGGAGACAGCTCTTCCCTAGGTATATTTTAAGTGTCTTCCAAACTGAGGGCCTTGTCTTCTGGCACTATATCAAACAATGTTTCACTGCTATTTATCAAATTTTCCAGTGACATACCAGTGTTTCCCTGCTATTCATAAGGTTTTCAGTGGCCAATTCTTTCAGAAATGGATGGCCCATCCTTTTCCCCATCTTAGTCTGGAAGCTCTGCTGAAAACTGGCATCGTGGCATGAGTAACCCTGCTGTTATTTGAAATATCGATGGCATAGCCTACAGCCTCACAGAAACATGTAAGCCACTATAGTAAGACAAACTGACAGACAAATGGGCCCAAATCAATAAATTCAGACTGACCCTACATATGTTCCTTGCACCATTATCCCACATCCTTAATTGTGCCATTTTCACACATTATCCAGGTTTCTGTTCCTACATATTAGAAAAATTAGGCAACTTTTTTGGAATGTAGCATATCCCTTCATGGGTCACACTTTATACTTCACCTTTTGAGGCTTTCTGGGACTTAAGTGTAGGTATAAGTCCAGAAGCAACAATGTGTGGTGGGGGTGGTTCCTGGGAACATTCAGCAATGTGTTGTAAGGCGTTTACCTCAGGCAATACCCCAGGCGCCACCCCAGATGATATCTCAGACAATGACTCAATAGGCACAGCCATCATCAGATGGGAAAAGAGGGCTGGTTTTTCTGGCAGGAGTGATTCAATGGAATTTAGGGTCTCAAAGACCCCATCTTCTTGATTATCTGCCCATATGTCTGCATCTCAAGTTCAGGATTCCATTTCTTCCAACCCAATGTCTTCTCTTTAACTTCAGATACCACTTAAGATTGGAAATTCAATTGATGTTGTAACCCAGCCACTCTGGGTTTGGTTTTTGGCTATTAGATCTGTTACTTTCAGGGCACAAGTGCAAAGTAAGGTCTTTTATGTGGCACTTAAACTGTGATTGCAAAGCTCTGAACTCACCTTGTTCTTTTACCACTTTGTCTAGCAGACCAACCAACCAGCTTCCTTATAGTTCTCATTCTAAAAAAATTGCAGTAAAGTATCAAACATACGATCACCCAGAGCCTGACTTACCACCAATACTCAATCTATTGGTGGTGAATTTTTGTGTATTAATATTGCCACCTCATACCATGGACTAGCAGCACCCTGTTTACTAATGGAGGCAGAATAATCAGTGCCTTTATGACTAATCAAACTTGGGAATGAATTTAGAAATCCCATCTTTATGATTTTGTTTCTCTAGAACCACTCTTGGTACCAAGTGTCTTAGGCTAGGTTCTCTAGATAAGGAATAGTGAAATATATATATACTCTCAATCTTTCTCTCTGTGTGTACACATATATACACACACACATAGAGATAGATAGAGAGATTTATCTCAAGGAAATGGCTAATACAATTATAGAGGCTGGCAAGTTCCAAGTCCCTGGATCAAATATCAAGCTGGAGGCTTCTCCTGACTTATGTAGCTGCCACTGGCTGCTGAGGCTGAGAAGCCCCAAGGTTGACAAGTAAAAAGGCACAGTCCCAATGTTACCAATCTACATGGCAGGCCATTAACTTAAGTCCACTGTAAGTCCCAAGGTCAGCAGAGCATAGCAGGCTGCTCAACAAAGACATGGCTATATGCAGGGTGGTCCAAGCATGCCAAAAGCTAGAGACCATTCTCAAAGCTTCTCCTTATATACAGGAAGCAGACCACATACCCAAAGGCAGCTACGCAGCTGCTCCCAGTAGATTCCACCATGGAGTTGATTACCAGTCTCATCACGGGGAATACTACATCCAGCTGCCCAGTCACTCAACCAGGCCTAGCCAAGTTGACATACAAACATAACCATCACACATGGATTATATTGTTTAATCTCTATAAAATTCCATTTGTAGGCATTAGTACTTTCCCCATATTTAATGAAAAATTGAGACCAGAGCGGTAATAGGGTTCTTAGAAGCACGCAGATGTACGTGCAGGAAATACTATGATAATATGGTATCCTTGATTATGGAATACTTTGCTCATAAGCCTCCATAGCAGTTTATCGAAAAATAACACATCACGTGTGATGCCTTGAATGACTTTATTTGAGACATATATACAAGATTAAAAACAATAACTCACATAGTGAAAAGTTGATTCTGATTTTGTTTCTACTTTTCTATCTTTTTGATTGCATCATCATGAAAATGTCATTTAAGTGCTGTGTCTAATATGTTTAATGCTTGGTAACGTTCTCTTTTAACAAAGAGAATGCACTTCAAGAACCTTTAGCAGGCCCATAATTTAAAAACATTGTTTCTTGTGTTTATTCTTCTTATAGTTACTTTCAATTTAGGACCATGATGCTCATTTTCCATTCACAGTACTTTTATAGTTTCCTTCTTTAAAATGTGTAAGAAAATACATTTAGTTAAAGAAAAAATAATAATCACAGCAGATAGTATACACAAATAAAGCATGAGAGATGGAAATTTGGGAAACTGCACTAACAGGTGGTGGCTGTTGTTATTAGTTGCTGATTCCAACTTTCCATGACTTCATATGTACAGAGTAGAGAACTCCGTAGTGTTTTTAAAGCTGTGACCCCTGGGAAGAAGAGTGCCAGGCTTGTTTTCTGAATTGCTTTTGGATGGGTTTGAACTGCCAAGCTTTGTGGACTGGTTAAGCATATGCACTACACAGGAGCTCCAACAGGTTGGTGTGTCCAATGTTAATGTCCTACGGGGAAATTAGAAAAAGTACCAATACTCTTTTAAATGAGGGAAGGACTTGGACGCAAAGAAAGGCACAACTTCTAGAGGAACATGTGTAAAGGAAGAGAAATGTCACGTGGGAACTAGATCCCCTGGAAGGAAATGTATACAAGAGCCGGCTGAGAATTACAAGTGTCCAGCAAATTCTCATAATCTAGGTTTTAAAGTGAATGTTGAATAGTAAGTTTCCATCAATAGCAAAAACATTAAAAGTTAGTTCGTTGGCAGAGGGTTTTGCAGTTGCCAGGGAACAGCACAATAAGTGGGGTTCTAATTCATGAGCCATTGGGGGAGGGAAGGCTGGGTCATGAAAAAAGACTCGAGTGGGATTGTAACCAAAGAAGCAGGCATATTCGGGATGAAAAGGGGACATGTGCAGAAAAAAAAAATTGCATCACTGACATAATTGTTACCCGAGTATAAATTAAACTAGGTATCCGGGGACTACAGCTGTTATATTTATTTTGGTTGCATGTGAGGGGAGCTGTTACTTCCCAGCTTGACAACTGATCACCCTCAAGATGCAATCTGGAAAGCTCTGACCAAGCCTTGTCTATAAAGCAGGAAGGCCTCCCTGTACCCCGCCCAGTCCCTGTATAATTAGAAATGGGGAGGAGAGGGGCAAGGATTGACTGCATTGGGTAGGTACTGTGCAGTGCACACAAATGTACCCTTCTTCTGTCTGGTATTTTTTCTTTTGCCACACATATATGAACAGCAACGGAATGAACTTTCATTATGCCAGGAGACCATAAACAGGTTACATTTCCAGTTGAATTAGGATCGACTGCATTGCTTCCATTTTGGTTGCTGCTGTAGTAATTTCTGAAAAGTCTAGCTACGCCAGTGCTGCCCTTAGTTCACAGCTCTCTGAGACCCCGCCCTTTACCCTACCCAAACCACAAAAGGCCGTGCAGTTCCAGCCCAAGCTCAGTGCCCGCCCACTCCCCCAAACGACGCAGTACTGCGGGGAAAGGGGGCGGCCTCTAATGGGGGCGGAGTCGGCCTTCGTCCTTCCGTTCTTGGTCCAATCGGTGACGTCCTACTGAAGGAGGTGGGGAAGCTGGACGTAGAGACAGTCCAAGTATTTTTCCCTTTTTCTGCCACGTCCCAACCATTGACGTGAGCCCACTCCTCAGTTTTCAATTGGAGATCTAGATTTTTCCTCCAGCAGTCCTTTGAATGTATTGGTCAGAGTTGTTCTGGGGCGGAGTTTTCTTCTTCGAGTTTGTCCCGGAGCAAGGGGCGGGGCGCTCCTCGGCCGCCTCTGCTTCCGCCGCCGCTGCTGCTGCCGCTGCTTGCCCCTGCGCGTTCTCCGGGGGAGGAGTCGGAGGCGGAGAAGAAGGCGGTGGTGGCGGGTGGAGGATCGAGCGCTGTTCTCGCTCCGGAGCACTGCACATTCGGTGAGGGAATTTTTTTTTAACTGTCCTCTTATGATGTTGGGAGTGCGGGGGGTCGGGACGAAGAAACTGCAGCTTCAGCTCCTCAATTTGTTGGTTTCTTCCCTCCAGAAAGAGTGGGGCCTGTCCCTGGTCCGCTGCGCCGGCCATGGTGGGTGGGGTTGATGGTTGTGCGAGGCCTTTTCGCCTCCTGGGCCCTGCCCAGCCTGGACCTGGGGCCGCACTTGTATCTGTGGCAGGTTCGCCGGCTGCCTCCCCGGAGGATGACAACGATTGCTGTCGAGAGGCTCCGCCGCTTGCAGTTTCCTGCTGCCTCTTCTGCTGTCCTTGGTGCTTTGGCCAAGGACCCCGCATCGTAGCCTCTTTCCCCACATTTGCGACTGTACAGGAGTGTGTCCCTCACTAACTCTTCACAGCCCCCTTATCTGCTCGTTTCCAGTAATCCCACATAGAGCTTATCCATCTTACGCCACAGGCCTGCAGCCCCCCTCCCGCTAAAACCTTCCGTAACCGTGGCTCTGGTGGGTGTATTTCCATTTTTCCTGGTTGTCAGCGAGACTCTTGTACGCAGATACCCTGTACGAACCACAACTATCCTTTTTCTCCCGATATTAGCACCGTTCCATCAGTGCTTCTTCTCTCTGTTAGCTATGTAAACTCAAAGCATGGCTAGGGCATATATGCACATTCACTTTTGGCCTCCCTAAGACTGCAGTTTGGTATTCATTTTGCGCACATTCCAAATGGTGTGTTTAAAGCCACTCAGACCAAGTTGAGGAAGAGAGGAGGGGATAAGAGTCTTTTTGCAAGGAGGAAGAAGAATCTGTTTGGAGACTTCCCTCTCTGGGATTAAAAATAAATTGCATCCGTATTGACATTGCTTTGAGTGTGTTCTGGTTCTGTGAAGTTTACTTTTTTTTTTTTTTTTTAAGATTTCCTATACTTTTGTTATTTTTATCATGAAATACTGGTTAGTTAAATTTCTTTAAAACGGCAGTCACCTTTACTGAAGACTACAGATCATTTGAAGAGTAGTATGTCAATGTATCTGAAGATAAAGTAAATAAATATTTTTTCAATTTTGTAATTTTCTTATGGAATTCATGTCATTTTAATATGAACTAATTGTTTAATTTTTCACTTAATTACAGGTATGCAAACTTGGTGTAAAATCCAAACAATATTTTAAGGACTATTAGATGAAATGTGAAAAATGTTCTTCAACTGCTAGTCTCACTCCGATGTCTATAGTTAATTTAGTATGCATATTTTTAAGGCCTTTTACAAATGTACTTTTACACACACACCACACACACACAATAGGGGGGGGAGTTTGTACCAAAATCATTGACATATCTCTGCTTTTTCATTGTTATGTGCCAACGAGTCTGACGTGACTCATAGTGACTCCTCCTTGGATTTCCGAGGCAGTATCACTACGGAAGTAGATTGCCCTATCGGAAGTAGATTGCCCTATCTTCCTTCCGAGGAGTGGCTGGTGGGTTTGAACCGCCAGGCTTCTGGTTTGCAGTCAAATGCCTTAGGCACTATGCTACCAGAGCTTAGTTACCCATTTTGAGCATCTTTCCTTGTTATGTATAGATCTGTTGTTGTTGTTGTTGTTGTTATTTGCCTTCGAGTCAGCCTGACTCATAGCGACCCCTCCTTGGGTTTCCAAGGCAGTATCACTACGGAAGTAGGATTGCCCAACCTTCCTTCCGAGGAGTGGCTGGTGGTTTGAACCGCCAGCCTTCTGGTTAGCAGTCAAGTGCCTTAGGCACTATGCTACCAGAGCTCCTATATATAGGTCTACATAACGGAAGGAAGGTTGGGCAATCCTACTTCCGTAGTGATACTGCCTCGGAAACCCAAGGTGGGGTCGCTATGAGTCGGGGCCGACTCGACGGCAAACAACAACAACAACAACAACAATATTTTTAAAGGCTAAGTGATATGTCATTAACCATTCCTTTATTAATAGATATTTAAGTTAATTGCAGCTTTTATGTTGTCACAGTGCTTTCTTTGCAACCAGCTTTTACATTTGTTGATTCATTTTTAACTACAAACTTTAAAATCATACTTAAAAAATTCGAGTAGTATGGGAGCTCTGGTGGCATAGCGCCTAAGGCACTTGACTGCTAACCAGAAGGCTGATGGTTCAAACTCACCAGCCACTCCTTCGAAGGAAGACTAGGCAATCTATTTCCGTAGTGATGTTGTTGTGGTGGTTGTTAATGTGCCGTGGAGCCGGCCCTGACTCATAGTGACTCCTCCTTGGGTTTCCAAGGCGGTATCACTATGGAAGTAGATTGCTCAACCTTCCTTCCGAGGAGTGGCTGGTGGGTTTGAACCGTCATCTTTCTGGTTAGCAGTCAAGTGCCTTAGGCATTGTGCTACCAGAGCTCCCTCCTTAGTGATATAGCCTCGGAAACCCAAGGAGTGGTCCTTATGAGTCGAATCTGACTCAATGGCTATAAGTTTGGTTTTGTTTTTTTATGGAAGAATGTAAAGTAAAAAGTACAACTTCTACTTCCTTTTCTTGTCCTACGTTCATCCCAAAAGTCAGTCATTGTTAACAGTTTTAGTAAACTTCCTCTGTTTATGTATGGTTGGTTATTTTTGCAGTATGGATTCCTGGAAATGAATTACAGAGTTAAAATGTATACATATTTTACATTTTGATACAATTTTCTCCCTCAGTACTTTTTTAAAAAAATGTTACTGGCTTTCTTATGTATGGGGGCTCTGGTGGCATAGTGCCTTAAAGCATTTGACTGCTTACCAGAAGGCTGGTAATTCAAACCCACCAGCCACTCCTCGGAAGGAAGGTTGGGCAATCTGCTTCGGTAGAGATACCACCTTGGAAATCCAAGGAGGGATCTCTATGAGTCAGGACCAACTCGACGGCAGTAAGTATGTTTTTTGTTTTTTGGTTCTTATATATTTCTTCCTCCAGATGAACTTTAGATTCAACTTACAAAATAAGAAATCCTTAGTGATTTTGAGTGGTGGTGGTGGTGGTGTTATGTGCTGTCGAGTAGTACCCAACTCATAGCGACCCCTCCTTGGGTTTCCGAGGCAGTATCACTACGGAAGTAGATTGCCCCATCTTCTTTCCGAGGAGTGGCTGGTGGGTTTGAACCACCAGCCTTCTGGTTAGCAGTCAAGTGCCTCAGGCACTGCACTACCAGAGCTCCCTGAATGGTGTTATACTGAAATTTTAGATTGCTTTGGTGGTAATTTACCTTTATGGTATGGAAAGTGCTACATTTTATTTTAGTTAGGTTTTCCTTTATGTTCTTATGGGGAGTTTTTTAGTTTTTTTTTTTTTTCCTCCTATATATGTATATATGACACACACACACACACACACATACATATATATGATAGGGACCTTGACTGCTAACTGGAAGGTCAGCAGTTCAAACCCATCAGCTGCTCCCCAGAAGGCCAACTGGATGATTTACTTCTGTAAAGATTTAATAGCCTCAGCAACCCAGTGGGGGGTCACTGTGAGTCAGAAACGACTGAAGGGGAGTGAGTTTGGTTTCTTGTTTGTTTTATATGACATTCTGCAATATTCCTATTTTACTGTGTGATTGCTGTGGGAGGTGGGAACTTTTTAGTTACATTCTCTTTAATTTCCTCTGGTTAGGGGAAAGGTTTTGAATTTTCTCTGTTTTTCGTATTTCTAGCACTTTATTGAGTTGATGCTTATGTAAAAATATTCACAGTGTTGTGGTTTCCTTTTCACTTTTTATAAATTATGTGTTTTTCTCATTACTTTGGTTATGTCCTGTATAATGTTGCATAATGGCATTGGTCACTTTCGAAACTTAGTATATTTCTGACTTTAAGGAAACATTTCTAATATTTTAGTATAAATTATGATGTTTGTGAAAACTTTCTGAGAAATAGTTAATATTGAGTTAGAATCTCTCTTCTTGTTCTTGGCTTTCCAAGAGGGTTTTCATTTCTGTTGACATTTTTAAAACCATAAATGGATCTTGAATTTATTACATGTTTTCTGACATCTTTTTAGGTAATTATAAAAAGATAACATCAATATTCTCTGGTTAACTTTTTCCTGAGAAGGCACCTTTTTAAAATAATCTCCTTTATTGAGGATAATGAACATAAAATATATACCAATTTTAAATGTACAGTTCATTGTGTTTTGATTAATGTGTGTACATATCACTACCACCACAATCAAGAGTAAAATAGTTTCAAATGTCAAAATGTAGAATATTTCCATCATCCTCAGAAGTTCTCTTTTGCCCTTTTTTATAGTCATTCTACCTTCATCCTCAGCCCTGAGAAAACACTGCTAACCAGAAGGCTGGCGGTTCAAACCCACCAGCCACTCCTCGGAAGGAAGATGGGGCAATATACTTCCATAGTGATACTGCCTCGGAAACTGAAGGAAGGGTCACTATGAGTCAGGTCCGACTCGAAGGCATATAACAATAAGAACAACAACTATAATTAGTTTCACATATTCTAGAATTCCACGTATGTAGAGTATGTATTCTTTGGTATCTTTTTTTCTTTCAGCATGGTGTTTTTTGGATCATCCTTGTTTTTGTTGTGTTTAACTAGTAGTCCATGGTATTAATTTGTCTCAAATAGTTGACTATTATACATATTTATTTGGATTGTTTCTAGTTGGGGCAACCATTAATAAAGTGCCTGTGAACATTTGTTTATGACTATTGTGTGAATATTGTGTGAATATAATCTTTCATTTCTCTTGGGTAAATACCTAGAAGTGGTTTGTATGGTAAGAGTATGTTTAACTTCATACCAGTTTTTCAAAGTGGATGTGCCATTTTACCTATCCACTACTAATGTATGATAGTTCCAGTTGCTCCACATCCTCATCAACATTTGATATTATCTGTCTTTATTTTTGCTCTTCTAAAAGGGTATGTAGTGGTATCACATTTTGATTTTAATTTGCATTTACCTGATAACTAAAGATGCCTGGTAACGTAGTG